TGGCTGACTCAGAACCAAACGGGGTAGGAGCCTCTCAGATTGGACGCTCCCATCATCCCCACGATGCCGAGGTACAAGTCAGGGAGGTTTGCGTTTTTACAAACAAAGAGTAAAGCTTGGAAGAGGATAAAATTAGATCGTCTGAACAACTTAGAGTGGTAACTTCAAGTTGCAGGCAGCCTGGAATAGACGCTTTTTCACGAACTCCTTGATTTAGCCCTTCCTTTAGTGTGTTTGGGTCCACATTGTAAGTGCATTCCGTAACCCAGGCACTAGTGGAAACAGTTTGAATGGGGTATGTGTGTCCCGTTAATACGATTTTCCCTGGGTTAGTGCTTATAATGCATTATTTAAGCAGTGAACCCTTTCCCTCGGTTAGTCTTTACAATATACCGCTGCATTAGATCGCGATTGATCGCTAGGGGCCCTTCTTTCCTCAGTCATCCACTGAAGAGAATAATCACAGTCACCCACTTCCGCTTCCACTCTTCAACATCAAACACCATTTCCCCCCTTCTCTTCCTAGATTTCCTATGTGTCGCTCACCCTTGCACTCCCAGTTTTCTCTCCGCAGACGCGTTAGGGTACATTTTTAACGTGTTTTACTAATGCTCCTATATGATTTCTGAATCTACAGATGCAAAACACTCAAAGCACCATAAAAATGTCCTAATACATTAGATTTCTTTAAATGACGTTTTACATAACACCATAGCTAAGAGACCAGCACACAAGAATAACTTTGGGAATTCACTCCCGTGTCATATTGACAAACTCTGGCATTTTGCAGCAGCAGCATCCATTAGCATGAGAGAAATTCAGTGATTCGTGCGGTTGGCTTTTTTCAGACTGGTGCACACTTGTTTCTCTGAAAAGGCACGTGGCTCTGCAAAGAGTGTTGGCTCCTGAAATTTTGTTTCCGGTGTGTACAACAATTTCTAGTTGTTACAGAAAGAGAAGTACTGCACTTGATTTCATGGTAGCTTCTAAGGGCAACTTGTGCAGCAAGCTCTTTTTGTCTAATCCTCTTATATGATTTTACCAACATTCTAGAATAACAATAAGTAACGAACTTCATGTGGGGCATGTTCGCCTAAATTCTTTCTCTATTGATCTCAAGGGGAGCTCCAGAGGTAATATTGCAATAGTCGGTGAACTCTCTCTACTATCCTGCCCTGCCCTCATTTGACTCCTGAGCAAGTGGTACTCTGTCAAAGGTGGAATACTCTGTTTTCCGTCTTTCCTGGGTGGGCCCAAGAAACGCTGTGACTTTCGTAGTCTATCTAGCTTTTGTATCACTGTTTGGCTGAGAGAGCCATCATTTACAAGTTCCCACATTCTAGTCAAAAGGGTTATTTACAACTTATTTTAAGTGTTCAAAGGAAACACTTAATCATGATGAAATATTGGGCTTTAAAGCAAATCAGAATAAATTGCAAAGGATTGAAGAACCACGGTATACTCTCTCTCCACAGGTGTCGGAAACTAGAAATCAGTTTAAAAGGAAAAGTAATCAGAAAATCGGCAACGTCTTTGAGATTCAGCAATACACTTACGGAAAAATGGAAGAAATAAAAGTCAAACCAACCTCTTCTTGGGCCAAAAAAAGAGGAAATTAGAATATACCAACCGTAACATGAATATTAACCTTCAAGTTGCTGGAGGAAAAGGGATTCACTCATCTTAGTTTTTTAAATTGCTGGTAATCCTCCTTTAAGTTGATGCAAGAGGCTGTTGACAAAGAAATAACAGGCCAAAATGGACTCATTTGCCCTCAGGACAACAAACCAAAACCTAATTGCAGTTTTAACGTCTTCCACGAACGTGGCCTTTCAATAGCCAATCTGAAATTTCCTGTTTAGCACTGGTGAGGCAATCTATACCATAAGACTCCTGCCGTATGCCCTTCCCCTAAAAAGAAGATGACCTGGCCTGAAACAATCCTTTTGTTCCTTCTGGTAATAACTTCCCCGCCCCACATTTCTGCCTATAAAATCCTTCCATGTCGTACAGCTTTTCAGAGTACCTCTCTACTTACTAGATGGGATGCTGCCCAGACAATGAATCACTCAAAAAGAGCCAATTAGATCTTCGAGTCATCAAGCACCATTTAGAACCATAGTTTCATGGTGGCGCAGAAAAGAAATGATGACTCTCCAGAAACCAAACTTGAAGTTCATGGAAGATGGCGATCTAAGTGACAGACAATTCAAAATAGCTGTCACGAAGAAACTCAACGAGTTACAGGAAAACTCAGAAAGACAATTCAGTGAGCTCAGGCATAAAATTAATAAACAGAAGGAGTACTTCACCAAAGAAACTGAAAGTATAAAAACAACCTGCCGAACAGAAGCTCTGGGCTGAAGAATGCAACAAATGAGACGAAGAATAAAGTAGAAAGCCTTGGAAATAGAGCAGACCACATGCAAGAGAGAATTAGCGAGCTCAAAGATAGAAATCTAGAAACCCTTCAGGTGGAGAAGGGGAGAGATTTAAGATTTTTTCAAAATTGAGAAATTCTATGAGAAATATATGACTGAATCAGGAAACGCAACATAAGGATAATGGGTATGCGAAAAGGAGAAGAGAGAGAGAAGGGAGCCGAGAGCTGATTTAAAGAAACAATAGCTGAGAACTTCTCAAACCTGGGGAAAGAACTGGACATACATGTACATGAAGCTAATAGAACACCTAATTTACCTCAATGCAAAAAAGATCTTCTCCAAGGCGCATTATATTAAAACTGTAAAAGTCAATGACAAAAAAGAATAAGAAGGGTGGCTAGAGACAAGAATATAATAACTTACAAGGGACTCCCATTAGGCTATCAACAGATTTCTCACCAGGGACTTTACAGGCCAGGAGAGAGTAGAATGACATATTGAAAATAATGAAGAGTAAAACTGTCTGCCAAGAATACTCTACCCAGCAAATTTACCTTTCAAATATGAAGGAGAAATAAAATCTTTCCAAGACAAACAGAAGCTGAGGGAATTCATCGCCACTAGACCTGCTTTATAAGAAACCTTGAAGAAAGGTCTCCCACTCAAAACGACGGCAAAGAGATACAAACTTTTAAGCACGGTGATAGACAAATAGAATCAGAAAATTGCAACTCTATAACTGAATGGGTTATCAAGAAGTTAATGATAACACAAAGGCTAAAGGGAAAGAAAGCATTAAAAACAACAATAACCACTTTAATTTGGTAACAAACTTACAACACAAAAAGGGATAATTTGTGACAACAAAAGCATAGAAGAGGAAGAGGGAAAGGATGGGACCTGCATAGGCAGATGGAGATAAGATGTCATCAGTAGAAAAAGGACTGTCCCATCTCTCAGATATTTTATACAAACATCATGGTAAACACAAAACAAAAATTCAGAGCAGAGTCACAAAACAGAAAGACGGAGGAAACTGAGAAACACGTCACAGAAAACCAAGTGAAATATAGAACGACAAGAAAACAAAAGACAAAATGGCAGGATTAAGCCATCATAGATTAAAGGTCAACAAGCAATAATCAACCTAAATGTAAATCGATTGAACTCACCAATCAAAGGACACGGATTAAAAATAAGACTCAAGAATGTGCTGCCACCAGGAGACCCCATCTCAGCTCCAAGCATTTGACAAGATCCAACACCCATTATAATAAAAAAATTCTCAATAAAATGGGTGTAGAAGGAAAGCACCTCAACCTAATAAAGGCCATATATGACAAACCCATAGTCAACATGATATAAAATGGGGAAAAACTGAAAGCCATTCTTTTAAGAACAGGAACAAGTCGAGGATGACCACTCACACCACTCTTATTCAACATAATATGGGAAGTCCTAGGCGGAGAAATTAGGCAAGAAAAAGAAATAAATTGTATCCAGGTTGGAAAGGAAATAGTAAAACTATCACTGTTTGGGAATGACATGATTCTATACAGAAAACCCTAAAGAATTCACCAAAAAACCTTTAGACGTCATTAAACAAATACAGTAAAGTTTCAGGGTACAAAATCAAAGTACAAAAATCAGGAGCATTTCTGCAAACTAACAACAAAATAGCAGAAAGACGTCAAGAGTACAATCCCATTTACACTTGCAACAAAAAGGATAAAATACCTGGAACAAACTGAGGAGTTGAAAGACCTACACACCGGAAAACAGAAGACATTGCTGAAAGAAATCGAAGAAGACCTAAAGAAATGGAAAGATATTCCGTGCTCATAGGTTGGAAGAATTAACACAGTTAAAATGCCCATATTACCTAAAGCCATCTACAGATTCAATGCAATCCCAGCAGAATCCCAAGGACATTCTTCACAGAAATAGGAGAAAGAATCCTAGAATTTCTATGGAACAACAAAAGACCCTGAGTAGCCAAAGCAGCCCTGAGAAAAAAGAACAAAGCTGGAGGTACCACACTCCCTGCTTTCAAAATATGCTACAAAGCTCTAGTACTCAAAACAGCATGGTATTGGTAACAACACCAACACGGATCAACGGAACAGAACTGAGAACCCAGAAATAAAACCATACGTCTGTGGACACGAATCTTTGACAAAGGAGTCAAGAACATGCAATGGAGAGAGGAAAGTCTCTTCAATAAATGGTGTTGGGAAAACTGGACAGCTGTATGCAAACGAGTGAAAGTAGACCATTATCTACACCATACGCAAAAATGAACTCTCAATGGATTAAAGATTTGAACGTAAGACCTGAAACCATAAAACTCCCAGAAGAAAACATAGGCAGTACGCTCTTTGACAACAGTCTTAGCAGCATCTTTTTGAATATCATGTCTCCTCAGGCAAGGGAAACAAAAGAAAAAGTAAACAAATGGGACTACATCAAATAAAAAGCTTCTGCATGGCAAAGGAAGCCATCAACAAAATCAAAAGACAACCTACCAATAGGGAGAAGATATCTGCAAATCGTGTATCTGATAAGGGTTAATATACAAAACACATAAAAAACTCATACAACTCCGTAATGAAAAAGCAAGCAACGTGGTCAAAAGACGGGCAGCAGATATGAACAGACATTGTCCCAAAGAAGATATAAAGCTGGTCAACAGGCACATGGAAAGTTGTTCAACATCACTACATATTAGGGAAATGCAAATCAAAACTACAATGAGATACCATGTCACACCCCTCAGAATGGCTATTATTGAAAAGACAAGAAATAACAAGTGTTGGAGAGGACGTGGAGAAAAGGGAACCCTGATACACTGCTGGTGGGAATGTAAAGTGGTGCAGCCGCTACGGAAAACAGTATGGAGATTCCTCAGAACGTTAAAAATAAAACTACCAGATGATCCAGCTATTCTACTTCTGGGTATTTTTCCAAAGAACATGAAAACACTAATTTGAAAACGTGTGTGCATGAAAACACTAATTTGAAAAGACATATGCACCCGTATGTTCATTGTAGCATTATTCATGACAGCCAAGACTTGGAAGCAGCCTAAGTACCAATCAACCGATGAACAGATAAAGAAGATGTGGTCTGTAGACACAATGGGATACTACTCAGCCATACAAAAGACCAAGTCCTGCCATTTGTGACAACATAGATGGACCTTGAGGCAATTATGCTAAGCGAAATAAGTTAGACAGAGAAAGACAATTACGGTATGACTCCACTCATATGTGGAAGATAAACAAACAAACATAGATACAGAGAACAGGTTGGTGTTTACCAGAGGGGAAGGGCGTGGGAGGAGGGCAGAAGGGGTAAAGGGACACGCGGGTACAGTGATGGACGGCAACTAGACTTTTGGTGAACACAGGCAGTCTACACAGAAGCTGAAATATAATCATGTACACCTGAAATTTACGTAATGTTATAAACCAATGTCACCTCAAGAAAAACGCAAAGACTAAACCCTGGAAAAGAACAAAATCGTATCGATTAGAATCAGTTTGGCTATTAACTTTGCTTCCTAGGAGCTTAGATAGGTCTTTTTTCTTGACCTTTTTGACTTAGTTGTTTTGATACTGTGTTTGGGTCCTCGCTTATCTTTTTGTTTTCTTTCAGTTTTATTGAGATATAATGGACAAATGACATTTTGCAAGTTTAAGGTTATGTTCTTAAACGAATTTCGTAATATGAGTAATGTCGAAAAAGGTTTGAATGGGGTATGTTTGTTTTCCCCTGATTTGATGCTTATAATTTGTCCTTTAAGCAGTGGAGTCCTTTCCCTTAGTTTGTCCTTTCAGTCACCCCACACCCTTAGATCCTGATTGCTCACTAGGTGGCTTTTTCCCTCAATAATCAACTGAAGTGAATCATCACACGTACTCGTTTCCCCTTCTGGTCTTCAACATCAAACCCCAGTTTTCCTCTCCTTCCTGAATTTCCTGTGTGTCAGTCATCCTTGAGCTCCAGTCTTGACTCCACAACCCAATTATAGTGCATTTTAAATTTGGTTTTACTAAGTCTCCTATTTGATTTTTGAATTTATAAATGCAAAGCATCCAATAAGCAATAAAAATATCCTCATGGATTTGGTTTCTTAAAAGTACTTCTCACATAATATGATTTGGATGAGACCAGGATGCAAGAAGAAGTTTGGAAAGACGTTTGTACATCATGTGAGCAAAGCCTGGAATACTCATGTGGCAACAATGAGCATGATAGAAATTCAGTGTCTTAGTAAAAAACCGTTTTTCAAACTGGTCTGCAGTTGTGCCTGTGAAAACGCACAGGGCACTACAGCGAGCTTTCGCTTCCAAAATTATGTTCCAGATGTGCAGGTTCGTCTCGAGGCACGGCCCAGAGATTTGCTTGTAGTTCATTTCGTGGCAGGTTTTCCTGGTCTCCTTGGGCATCAAACTCTTTTTTCGAATGTTATTGTAAGATTTGCCTAACATTCCAGAAGAATAACAATTACTATTCGTGGTGAGGGAGCTCGTTTATCTTAAATTCTTATTCTCATGATTCCAAGGAGAGCTCTTGATGTATAAGGGCCCATCAGAGTTCCGCATTGGTCGGGAAAAAACTAGGCTTTTCTACCAACTCCTTGATCAGGCACTGGCCCCGTCATAGTCACAGCCGAGTTGCTCAGGAAAGCTCTCTCTAGTACCCTGGCTCGCCTGTTCTTTGTCTTGAGCTCGGGGGGCTCTGCCAAAGTTAAACAGTCTTCGTGTTTTGTCTCCCCTGGAGAGTCCCGTCCGTCTTCTCTGGGGCCCAAATAAAGTTTTGTTCCTGTCGATTATCCAGACATTTTCTCATTGTTTGACTGAGAGTGACATTCTTTACAGGTTTCTACATCCTAACCAACATGGGAAATTGAAACTTATTTTAATAGTATAAATGGAATACTTAACAAAACTGAATAAATATTGGGGTTGAAAGCAAATCACAAGACATCTCTAAGGCTTGAAATTACGGAGTATCTTCTCTCTTCACAGACATAGGAGGCTGGAAATAAAAATAAAAATTAAATTGCTCAACACTCAAATAGTTGTGGAAAATGACAAGGGTGGGGTCACATCACTTCCCTTAATTGGTCACCAATGTTCTCTTAATGTAATGGAAGAGGCAGGAGATATGCCCCCATTTACTACAAAATTCATATCTCCTATGGGTTGACTTGCATCCCCCTGGAAGTCTTATGTTGACGTCCTGATCCCCAGGACCTCATATGTCATCGTATTTGAAAATAGGGCCTTTACTGAGGTAATCAAGTTAAATTATGTTCATTTGGGTGAGCTCTATTCCAAAATAACTTGGGTACCTATAAAATAGGGAAATTTGGAAACTGAAACACGCATATAGAGAGGAAAATGTGAAGACTCAGAGAGAGATGTCCGCCATCGACAAGCCAAGGGGAGAAGCCTGGACCAGACGCTTCATTCACATCACTCTGATGGAACCAACTCAGGTGACACCTTGATTTGGACATGGAACCTCCAGAAGAGGGAGACAGTAAATATCTGTTGTTTAAGTCACCTAATCTCTGGCATTTTCTGCAGCAGACATAGAACACTAATAAAATATTCCTAAATGACCATGATTAAAAAGGTACAGCCCATCAAACAAAGAAACAAATAGCAGGCAGTGAATCACACCCCTTTCCCTCTCAGTCACCAACCTGAACATCCCAGGAAGACACTTAGTGGTTTGGCTCAGGACACCTCGCACATCCGGACGATGCTGTGGCTCAGCGGCTGCAGGTCTCTCATTGGCCGACCCCAAACAGAGTAGGGCTTGAGTCTCTCTGATGGGACACTCCCATCGTCCCCATGATGCTGAGTTGCAAGTCACGGAAGTTGGGGTTTTCGAAAGAAGAGATTATAAGCTTGGGAAGAATAGAATCAAATAAAGTTAGAAAGTTAAGAGTAGTAACTATAGTTTCTAAGGAACCTGGAGTAGCTGTTGTTTCTTGAAGTTTTCCTTTAGTAATTTCTGTACTGTGTTTGGGTCCACGCTTTAAATGAATTCCGTAACACGGGTAAGGGTGAAAAAAGCTTTCATGGGCTATGCTTGTCCTACTAATAGTATTTTCCCTAGGTCGGGGCTTATAACTTGCTATTTAAGCAGCGAAGCCTTCTCCTTCAGTTCGTTTTCAGGGAACCACACCGTTAGATTGTGATTGCTCATGAGGTGCCCGTTTTCCCGCCATCACCCACTCTTGTGAATAATCACATGAACTCACGTCCCCTTCCAATCTTCAGCATTAAACCCTATTTTTCCTGTTCACCTCACAGATTTCACGTGTGTCACCCAACTTTAACCCTCCAGTCTTCACTCCTCAGAACTATTAGGGTGCATCTTAAATGTTGTTTTACTAGTGGTCCTGTTTGCTTTCTGAATTGACAAATGCAAAACCCCCAAAGCATCATAGAAATGTCCTAATGCATTAGATTGCTTAACATGATTTTTTACATAACACCATAGGTAGGAGACCAGCTCGCAAGAATGACTTTCGGAATGCACCTCTGTGCCATATTGACAAACACTGGCATTTTGAAGCAGCACCCACTAGCATGACAGAAATTACGTGACTTAGTGAAGTGCCCTTTTTTCGAACTGGTCCAAAGTTGTTTCTCCGACAAGGCACATGGCTCTGCACAAGAGCCTTTAGCATCCAAAATTCCGTTTCACGTGTGTGCAACAATTACTAGGCACCTCAGAGAGGTTTATGCTGCACTTGATTTTGTGGTAGTCATTCTTGGCAACTTGTGCCGCAAGCTCTTTCTTCAAATCCTTTTATAGGAATTTTCCAACACTCCCGAAGGATAATGAGTAACGAACTTGGTAAGGGGCTTCTTTGTCCTCAATCCTATCTCTACTGATCGCAAGGGGGAGCTCTGGAGGTAATACTGCCCCCCTTCACGCTTGCAATGCTTAGCGAAGCTCTCTCTAGTGTTTTGACCTACCCTCAGTTTCCTTTTGAGCAACTCGACCTCTGTCCAAGGTGGAATACTCTGAGTGTGGATCTTTCCAGGGAAAGTCTTCCCTCTCTTCTGATGGGCTCAAGGAAGGTTTTGATTTCGGTAGCTTATCCAGCTTTCGTCTCCTTATGTGGCCGAGAGTGGCAACCTTTAGCGGTTTCTACATCCAAATCACAAGGGTCATCTACAACTTATTTTAAAATGTAAATGAAGCAATGAACAAACGCAGTGAGATATTGGGCTCTAAAGCAAACCATACTTAAATACAAAGAATTGAAGTCCCGAAGTGTGTTCTCTGTCCACACGTGCAGGGTGTTTATTAGATACGGATTAAAGAGAAGAGCAACTAGAAAATCACCAGCTACTCAACTTTTTTCAATATGCTTATAGGAAAAGGAAACCAATAAAAAGCCATTGGCCAAGAAGAAGATGCACAGGAAATTAAATTTATTTTGCACTATCATAAACATCAGCATTCAAACCCCTTGAGGAAGAGGAAGGCGTCATTTTAGTTCTCTTATTTCCTGACCGTACAGTTCTTAGGTTGGTAGAAGAGGCTAGAGACACATCCCACTACCAGCTCCGGATGGTATGCTTAAATCGTC